AAAGCCAATACCTATACCACAACTGATAATGCAGATACCAACACCACCATCACCCAAACCGGTAGTAATACTACCAATATTGATCTCAACACCACTACCAGAGAAGCGTCTCACAGCACCACACCCACCGATATTACACCCAACATACAAACAAGAGTAAACAAAAAGACAATGCCGAATACACAAAAAAGTCTATCACATGAGAAGAAAGGGCTTGACCTCTGTGCAAACTGTTTATAATGCCTGCACCTCAGTATATTATATTTAAGAACTTCATCGATAATAGTTTGAAAAAAAAAGAAGCTTGACCCAAGATACCAGATCTACTTTTTGTTATACGCTCACTTCTCAGTATTTTACATATATAAGCTTTGTCAATAGCAAGTAGTGTAAGTATGTAGCAAGAGTATTGTAGTATCTATTTTGTCATTTTTCTATAACTTTTTATTATAGTTCGATTTTTTTGTTATTGACCAAGGAATCGTCAGAAAGATTTGTTAATTGTAAGACACTATATTAGTAATAAAATTAAATCTTTTTATTTAATAATTTAAAAAAAACTTTTAGCTTTAATATCTTATTTACTTTTTTTAAAATAGTTTATTATAAGAGATCAAATAGAATTAATTAAACTTGATGCCTTATATTAACTATTTGTATATCATTTAATATCGAATGAATAGAAGAAAAGCTTACAATAATTATAAGTATAAAAAAGTATTATATAGCTAATCAAATTCATAAAACAATACAGGAATTATTCTAGAATATTATTTTTTAATTTAGTAAAATTTTTGATTAAATTAGTCAACTCTACTAAAATGTACTATAGATATTAAACACCATATTACACAAACTATTAGAATAGCTAATTAAAATTTAAGACCAGGTGTAATATAAAATTTTATTTCTTTGTTTATTTTTTTAAAAATACTAATATCTTAAAATTTTGCTTATGAAACCACCTTTGAGACTCTAATAAAAAAATTTCTTGCTAAATTTTGTATATAAAAATTCTTTGGCTAAAATTTTATATCTTGCCCTAATCCTAAAGTAATTAAATTTTATTTTTTGTTTTTATTAAAATTATTTATTTGTTTTTGTTCAATATCTATAGTGTTAAATACCATAGGTGCATTTTATATTATCTGAAATTAGTAATAGTTATATAGATAAAAGTTATAAAATTTGTTGAATAATTTAATAGACAATCTATTTATTTTTTTGTTCTTTAGTTTAATATTTTTATTAGATATATGAGAAATTACTAGTATCTTTAGAGGCTTTAGATATAGAATATTTGATAAGAATACATATAGACATATATATAAATCTTAGTTATTGTCTATTTAGGGGGCATCCATAAATAATATTATGTACCCCACATAGTAACCCTTGACCCCCCCTAGACTATATAAAAAAAATTTAAAAATCCGTATGTTTATATATAAATTTTTACAAAACCTTGATTATCTTGTAACTCAGTAATCCAAATTAGATAAATTTGGTGCCATTAGTTTCGTCTCAATAAGAGGAATCCAATGGTACCAAAATTATTCAATTTGGATCACTGGATCAAAAGATATAGGCAAAAAACTGTTAATTTTATAGTAATTTTATATAAAATAATATAGCCAATAGTTTTTTGTCAATATCTTTTGATCCTGTGATTCAAATTGAATAATTTTTGTACCATTGGATTCCTCTCACTGAGACGAATCTAATGGTATCAAATTTATCCAATTTGGACCACTAGGTCATGAGATATTAATATTTTTATAAAAAATTAGGTTATTTTTCTTTGATTCCTTCTAACTTAGCAAAAAATGTAAAAAATGTTATTTTTGTGAAACTCCCTCCCCCCCTTGTATAATGTTATTTATGGATGCCTCCTTAAAGCTTTGCTATATTATTATAGTTATCTTCTATATACTATATCTAAGATCTGCTTGTGAATTCTCTATTTAAACTCTGATTTTAAACTTCTTATACAAATCTAACCTAATCTCATCTAGAATATGAGATATATAAATTATTCTACACCATCTGAATTATTATATACTATCTATAAAACAATCATTTCTGATGTATCTTTGAATATATTATCTGTTAGAGCAGTTTAGTATCTACTATTACTATAATATATGATTTTTTTAGTAACTTATACCAAGTTCAAGAACAAGTATTTGTAAGTTAAAACTGCTACTATTATCTACTCTGTGTTTTGTAAAGTTTATCCAAATCCTGATATCTTTTCTTTAAAATAACTCTGTATCTTTTTTTTAATATCTTCTAGTCAGTCTTCTCAGACTACTAATTTAGATAATCTAGAAGAAATATTATTTTTATAATATCTGCTAATTTTTTTTCTTTGATTGATATTTTGGCAATCTGGTTGATAGAGCAACTTGCTAGAGCTTTTGCTTTATCTGGCTAATTAACTTTAAATAAAACCTATTTTAGTAGCTACTATTAAAATTTTGTACTATTTTTTTATTTAGGTCTTGTTAAGCAGATATCTATTTTTCTAATTCTCTGAATTTATACAATTATAAAAACTTATTTTAAGTTTACATTATCTAATATTAGCTTGTATATCTTTATATAAATTATATATTGTATGAATGCTTCATGATCTCTTAATCTTGTCGGTACTACTAAAGTTATAAAGATTTTGTTTTAACTAATTATCAAAAGATAGTAGCTATTGTATAAACAAAATTTTTAAATTTCTATCATTAGTAGATTTTAAACCCAACTTGCCAATATACTGCTTGAAGATATAATAACATCAGCAAAATATATAAACGTAATCTTACAAAAGTTATTATACCCCAAAAAATTTCACAATAATTACGATCAACGTGGAATATTTCAAAATTTTAAATATGAAATATTATGAAATATATTACAAAATATTACGAAATATATTACGAAATATTACAAAATTTGTTACAAAATATTTTGATAAGATTCGAACTAATTCGAATTTATTTGAAATATACAAAATTTACTACTTGACTAGACAGTATTAAAAAAACTTTTAT